TTCAAACAAAATATCTTTGATGCATAGATTTCCCTCCCCTCCCCCCCCAAACACACACATTCCAGAGGCCTTGACACTTCTTATTCTCCCAAAGATGAAGATGTATTTTCCAAAACAGCACAGTTCCCCTTAGCACAGTTCCCCTCACCATAACAGGTAACTGTGAAGGGTTTCAAGAGCACCAACAGATCATCACATGTACCAATTATCTTCTATATTGTGAGCAAGGCAGCATCTGAGACACACATTGACCAATTCTGGGAGTTACAATTTTGTTTTTATCTGGCAATTCCTTTGTCCTCCTTTCCTTTTCTTTTTTCCTGTTCTCTTGAGTTTTAGGCAGAGAGAGAGAGCGAGAGCGAGAGAGTGTGTGTGTGTGTGTGTGTGTGTGTGTGTGTGAGAGAGAGAGAGAGAAACAGTTTCAAAAGCACCTAAATGATTTAGGAGACTAAACCCTGTTTTCAAAAGTGATTTAGGTACTTTGGAGCCTAAATCCAAACTCCTAAGTGCCTACGGTCATTCTGAAAATGGGGCCTAGACCTCTAAGTCACTTAGAGTCTTTTGAATTTTTTTACTCAGGATCTTTAACTATAAGAGATTTGGTGGGATGGTCATATATTGTGAATCAGTTGTCTCAGAGAAGTCCATGGTAGCTCTAAGTGAAATCTGCTTGAGAATGTCATCAGGAGCTATGAAGGTCTAAGTGGTAACGTAAAATTCCATTCTAATAATCCTATAAGGTACATTAGTCATGAAAGGTATGTTTTAAAACTCTGTGGTCAATTGATCAATCTTCTAGGAATCAGAAAATCACAAAGAAGTATGCTTCAAAAGAATTTTGAAAGTGGATAAAATAATCCAATATTCCACAGCAGTATATATTAATTTGAACAGAGATTAATCTAACAAACTAGGACCGCAGGATTGTGTTCTTCAGAAATGAAGGCATGAAGCAAAAGACTGAATCTTGCTATAGAGTATTGACCACAAATTCCTAGCATCATAAATGTAGAAGTAAACAAATACCTGGTTTAGATTAGAGTGAAGTGGTCAAAGATTTTCTATTACCCATTTTCCATTTCTGTCTGTCAGAATTGTTACAATTATTAAAAAAAAAAAGTCTCAACCTCTCTCTCTTTTTTTTTTTTTGAAGCTGCTTGGTTCTAATGAGTGCTATAATTTTTTTTATCCCTGATGGTCTCAGATTAAGCTTGTTGGATTAGTCAGGTTTAGGCTCTAGTGAGGCCACATCATGCTACATTTTGTAAGGACATGATGATTTTGAGTAATTCCAAATGTCTTTAGAAGGTGATATTGAGGCTCTTGCTCCATTGATCATGTTTCCACTATTTTTCTCATCTCCACACTGCCATCATTTTTAGGCCCTTACACAAATTGATACATTGTTTTTCACAAGACCTCTTGAAACTGGCTAGCATTTATTTCAATTAATTTAAAAGGCTTGTCTGTGTGGAAAGAAAACCATGAGGAAGTTGCATCAGAACTACAGTCATTTATTTTTTTGTGTCTAGTGCTGTTGAGAGAGGTTTTTATGTAATTACTACATGTGCGGCTTTCAAAAAGCACTCAGCATCAGCATTGGCCTAACTCTGCTGCCCTTGAAGACATTGGTAAAACTCCCACTTCAGTGGAAGGAGAGTTAGGCCAAAAGTGAAAATTCTACCTTACCAAACTAGGAACGTGGCAGCCTCATGCTGGTACAACTACATGAGGTCTCTGAAGTATCTGTATAGAACCAGTTACGTTCTGGCAGAATGTAGGCAGTAAAGACTTGCACCAAAGTGTCCAACCGTATCAAAGTGTCAACGTTTAGTATGACAGTATTACAGGATCGCTTTCCAAAATTAGCTATATAATTTTCCCTCTCCTTTTGAGAGTATCTTGATATTTATCTTTGTCATTTCTCTTTCCTTTCCTCTCCACCACCTTCCTCATTGAAGAAGGGATGTAGCAACACACAGCTTTGGAGAAGTGATTAGTTCCTCATCTATACTTGTTCTCCACATTGGTATCGTCCATAAATCTACTCTCATCCACCTACATCTTTTCTTAAGTTCCTGTCATAAGGTTTTTTGTTTGTTTGGAGCCATAGTAAAGAGTTATGGGAAGGTGTCAGCCAAAAGAGCTGACAATTGGTGTTTGTGACACTCGTTATTCACCTAAACTATACACACATCGCCAAATGGTGACAACCAGGAAGGGAGAGATGGTTGTGAGGGAATGCAAAGAGAACAAAGTTAAGCTTTCAAAGCACCCCAATACATGCTCTGACCGCTACATACATAGAGCAGAGGGTACTGTCTTCAGAAAGCATCATTTATGGGTAAGTAATTTTATCTTTGATACTAAGCAGTGAAATAATTATTACAACAATTTTTTTGGTAGCATAATGCAGGCTTTATAGAATTCTGTATACTTTGGACCCGTTTCTCCACTGCCAGGTACCCTGTGTAGTCATTTACACCCAGGGAATACTGATACAACGTGATTTCAAATCAGAATAGTAGCATTTTGCACCCATGTTGCACAGATGTAAACACACAAGGTGCTAGGTAGTGGAGAATCAGAATCACGGTGTCGGTTTTAAATATAGCACTCATTTTTAAGGTCATCCTGTGCCACTGTTATTCCAACTTGCCTTGAGAGTTTTCTTTTTAAAAATAAATTGAGCAACCTAGAGCAGGATCTTTTTCTAAGATTTGCTTTCATTCTCCTTTGGTCTAGAGGGTACAGAATCTACAATGGGCCACTCTATTGAAAGCTGCTTTTTAATTTGATATCTGCAGCAGCACAAGTTGAAGTCTTCAGTGTACAAATTCCAGGGTACTGCAAGCTGTACTTCCATGTACAGTGCCAGCATAACGGTGCCGAATATTAATACATTTCTTTCCCTTTTCCTTCTGTCAGCTGCAATAGTCCATTTGCTTTAAGGCCCCAGTCAAAACACCACTGAAGTCAATGAGAGTCTTCAGTGGCCTTTGGGGAAGATTCTTAAAGGAATGGACTGAGCTTGCTCTGTTGTGAAAGTTACCTTAATTTCTTCAACTGTAACAATTAAGGGCAATTCTCAGATATAACTAAAAGGCAAGTTACAGATTAATGCACTAAGGATGAATCTGTGAGTGTTTAATGCACATCTGTAGATTACATTTCAAATGAAAATGTATTGTTCCTATTTTGGAATGACAAGAAGGGTTTAATAATTAATATGTGACGTGTCTTGTTATGTTATGTATACTAATATACTTATCTTTTTTCAAATACCCCTTTAAATATTTTCTTAACCTAAAATATGGGAGCAGGGGTGTTGTTTGTGTGTCTGTGTTTGTGTTTAAATAAAGTGTATAATTTTAAGAATATGTGAAAATCAATGTTTTGTTTTTCTGGTTTAAGTAAATATTTGATTTCATTTGCTGTTTGGCTTGATATTTATGTGCCTTTTAATACAAACTTTATTTTGACAGTCACTGGCTGTTAACAGGTGTTTTAAGTGGAGTTTTGAATATTGTCAGATTATTTTCCATATAATAAATCTGTTTTAAGGATACATTTTAGCAAATCACAGTGCTAGACCTCATTACAGCACTATATAAATGATGTATAGTGGATCTATCATTGCCATTCAGTTGACACATTTAATTTAACAAGAGATGTCAAGTTTCTATGGTGGTGGGTAGAGAAACGGGGAGGGAAAGTGCCATCCATGTTACTTTAACATGAGCTGTAGCATAGTGCAAAAATGATACATTCTTTCAGAACTGGCGGCTTTTGCTTTCTCAAAATTGAAGGGCAAGGCAAAATCACTCCTTTTTGGGAAGAATGACACTTTTTGCAAATCAGGTTTCAAATTACTCTATGCTGAGCAAAAGCAAAATCTTGTCACGGTTGGTGGTGATCAATTGTGTCAAAGAAAAAAATTCTCTTAGAGGCAATTTTTCGTGGGTTTTTAATCTTGTTCATGAGTAGTGTCTGGGAGCTCAATAGGAAGAGCTTGAGGAAAGAGGAAGCTCATGAGAGACTTCAGAGGAAAAGCACAGAGAGAAATACTAAAGAACATATGGTTTAATGCTTCAGTGCTGTTCGTTTTTTCTCACTTTTTCCCCATGAATTTGAGTTTGGAAAAGAAAAAGCCCTTTCTTCAGTTTGTGGTTTTAGGGATTCTGAGTGTGGCCCAGTGATCAAAAAGAAGAAGCAAAAATCCACCATGAATGAATATGTGGACCCATTCGTTTTAGTTTTGACGTTTTGTGCTAGATTGTGACATTACATTTTGCCATGAGTAAGGGGCTGCCTTGCCCCAAGAGCACATGAGGGAATGGTCTGTGAGAATTAAAAATTTGTTCTCTGGTCTCTGTCTGAGCAATCAAGGAACCAGGGATCTGCTACTGGTCTATTTCAGTATCGGATTGTTTCCCACTCCATGCCAGTTTGGTGAGTAAACTTCTCTGTTCTACAATGGCAGATCTGGGACCAGAATTCAGATCTCCTGACTCCCAATCTGATGGCCCATCTTCAGCAGCATGCTGTGCAGCCCACAGTATATTTATGCCTATTGGTAGGTTCAAAGCTTAAAAGGAGACTGTCACTAATTGCCCACCCAGAAGATGAGGATCATACTTAAGCTTGTCTCTCTCAAGGCACATCCCCTCTCTTCCTGTGCTCCACTCTTTTTTCAACCTGTGTTTTCAAGCAAGGTACATAGTTCTCCACACCAACCAGTACTATGCTTAAACTCTCTCTCTGCCTCCCTCCCTCCACAACACCTACCACACACTGCTGTGCATCAAGCAAGGCCATGCAGGATTAAGGCCTATGTAGAAATACCAGTGGTGTTTTCTCAGAGTGATATTTGCATATTAGCACATTCAGGATTCTAGAGGCACCATCTATTGGTAAATGCTCAGCGATTACATTGGTTTCTTTGCAATATGGATTAATAGCAAGCTCTGCAAAAAAAGAATGTCCTTTGTAGATTATCATTCACACTGGTTTGTTTTTAATAGATTCTGAGTGTCCTTGTGCTCCAAAATGCGAATTTGGTGCTTCAAACTTTCTTTCTAGTCATTCTGTTAATAAAGGGAAACTTTTTTTTTTAGATATTTAATAAGATTTTTTTTCAAATCAGTACAAAAAATTTAAATACAAAAATTATTTGCTATTGACATATCTCATACATATTCTGGAAACTCACCAAAGTCACCAGTGTCTGGTAAACTGTCCATTGCCACCAACATTCCATAAAATATCTGAGATCACGCACCGCACTACAGTCATTGCAGTGCTGTGTTGGTAATACACTGCATTAAACTCTGTATTTAAATAATGGTCATGCCAGTTAAATCTTTTTTTTTTTTTTTTCCTGCATGGAAGTACCTTGTTCATTTTGAATTAAATTGGGTTGCATTAGTCAAGACATAGAAGGTGTGTTCAGCCTACTTTTAAACTAATGCAATAGTGTGATGTGCAACACTGAAAAGGGAAACACATAAAAGTACAGTATTAAGATATTTTTAAATTAATCTCAGTAATTAATTTTTTGCTGTGAGATTAGCACCATTGTTGAACAGACAGTACCTTGTAAAAATGTTGCTTCCCCCACATACACACACACTTAATGCCTATGTATGCTCATATACAAACCTAGGCAATTGGTAACAAAACATAAATAAAAAGAACTGGAAATCAGTTATTAAATGAAATTGTTCTCAGATGAGTGATAGTTTAAGGCCAGTAGGGACCATTAGATTATCTAGTCTGACCTCCTGTATATCAGAGGCCCCCAACACCTCTCAGCACCCCCACACAATGGAAATAAGACAAAAGTAAAAGAGTTTGCTTGATCCTTATTACAGATTAAAATTATTGGACAATCTCAACCAGTTTATTTATTATTTAGCAAACAGCAAGTGCCACTTTTGCTGTATGTTCATTAATAAGCTAATTTTGGCTGAATCCCAGAACAAGCGCATTCTCTTAAAAGCCAAACAGAATGCAGTTTCTTAGCAAAGGTATGGGAAACTGCGTGTCTTTATACTGCACTGACGTTCATTGGCCAAAATGCTACATTATTTTAATAATTTGGCATAACATATCTAAAGTCATTAGACTAAAACCATATCTCAGGTCTACCATGTCTACCTTCTGCTTTGTAAATATATATGGAGGCTTCTTGAATGCTGTGGTATTAGGGGTTGATCTATTGCCCCCTGAAGTTGATGGCAATTTTCCTTTTGATTCCAATGGCTGTTTGGATAAAGCCCTCAGCTAGCAGTGAATTAAAATTCTCTTGTGCTAACATTCTTTTCCATCTTAAGTGTTTTACTAGAAGAAACTGTTCCGTGATACTGTATGTGGGGAAAATAAGGATTTCAGCTAAGAGAATCTTTGCTTATGGTGCAGGGTTAGATAAAACCTGCTTTTAAAAAAAATTACTCAAACTTTATATATATATTTATATATATATAAAATCAGATCATTTCATACTGACACATTCTATTTATTTTAAGTTATCTTTTCACCTCGCTCTTTAGATCAATGTTCAGTTAAATAGGCAACAGGAGTGAGTGTTGTATGCAAGATTTGACCCTTAATACTGCGTTATTGTGAATGAAACGAAGTAAGTATGGTATCACAGAAATATATAATGTACAGCTAATATGTCCCCATTGGATACAGAACAACTGTTATGAACCTGATACACATCATTAAATATGTTCACCACACCATTTTTATAACTAGCTGTGCATAATGTGAAACTTTGTGTTTCATTTGTTGTACAAAAGGGATCTAAAACTGTCAGTAAATGCATCTTTCAATGGTATAAAAGTTTGAAGCAGAGGAAAAGAGTTGTGATTTTGTCTGGGGGTTTTGTTTGTTTTGTTTTGTTTTTGTTTTTACATAGGATACAATAAATATCCTGAGAAAGATGAGTGAACATATTGCCCAGCATAGAGTCCCGCTGCCTGTTCAGATGGCATCTGAATATAAACTTTGTCTCCAGGCATCAGCTGAATGACGGTGCTTCCAGAAGCTTGGTCCAGGAAACCTTTTTTATATTCATCGTATGTATACATCAGTGGCTCATTGTTCTTGTACAAAGCTACCCAGACGCTGGCCCCTTTACAGTGAACATGGTAGGCAAAGTAGTAAATCCCAGGGATCTCACAGGTGAAGATACCAGTCAGTGGGTTATAGTTCTGCCTGCCATTGTAGAGAAGCTTGTCAAATTTCACAGGCACCCCTACCCGTGGGAAGGGTGTGGTGAGTTCTGCTGTGAATGCAGGCATTTCGTAGACAGCGCCACCATGCTTGCCTTTCTTGCCCATATAGCCAGGTGGGGTCTTCACTCCATCGATGCCAGGCCCCATCTCTGGCAAATATTGTCCAATGGCCGGTGGGGTGGGTGGGATTATTACTGGAGGACCAGGTGGACCTGGAGGCCCTGGAGGACCCTGGAGACCCGGCTGGCCAGGTGGACCAAGTGCCCCAGGTTTTCCTGGTGGTCCTTGCAGCCCTGAAACACCAGGTTTCCCTACTCCTGGAAAGCCTGGTGGACCAGGTACACCTGGTTCTCCTTTAGGTCCTGGAAGTCCAGGTGGTCCGATTGGGCCACTGGGTCCTGCGATACCTGGGATTCCAGATGGACCTTGATGGCCTTGATCACCGGGGATTCCAGGTTCCCCTTTTGGTCCTAATTGCCCAGGAATACCAGGCAGGCCTGGCAAACCTTTGTGACCAGCTTCTCCCTTTGGCCCCATTGGACCAGGTAGTCCTCTAAGACCTGGGGGTCCTACTTCCCCAGGAAAACCTGGCTTTCCTGGGAAACCTTGTAGGCCAGGCTCACCTTTTGGACCAATAGGTCCTTGAGGCCCTACAGGTCCACCTTCTCCTTTTGGTCCTGGGAAACCAACAGCACCAGATGGCCCCATTACTCCTGGTAATCCTGGTTGACCTGGCTCCCCGGGAGGCCCACCCATGCCAGGAGGACCCATGTGCCCTTTCTCACCTTTAGGCCCCAGTGCTCCAGGGAAACCACCCATGCCACGATCACCTTTAGGCCCAGGAAATCCTGGTTTCCCAATTCCTGGTAGGCCCGGTGGCCCTGGTAAACCCGGCAAGCCTTGTTCCCCCTTTCCACCTGGGAATCCAGGCTGGCCTGGGATTCCATCTTGACCTGGTTTTCCAACACCTGGAAGGCCAGGTGGACCTTGAATCCCAGGTGCCCCAAGAAGACCTTGTGGCCCTTGTTCACCTGGAAGTCCTGGTTTACCTATAGGTCCCTGTGGTCCTGGAAACCCAATCATTCCTGGTTTGCCTATCCCTGGGAGTCCAACTGGACCTGGAGGGCCAGGTAGCCCAGGTGGACCTTTTAACCCTGGTAAACCTGGAATCCCAACGCCTTTTTCTCCTTTAGGCCCTTGAAGCCCCGGGAGTCCTGGTGGTCCTTTCATTCCTGGTTCACCCTTTACTCCTTGTTGTCCTGGTAATCCTTGAACACCTGGTTTTCCTATTCCAGGCAGTCCAGGAGGCCCTAGTGGTCCCTGTGGCCCTGGTATTCCCATAGGTCCAATCTCTCCCTTTGGTCCCATCTCACCTCTTGACCCAGGGAGCCCCATTGCTCCTGGTTTTCCAGGCATTCCAGGCATACCTGGTTTGCCTATTCCTGGATATCCTTGTGGACCTGGTTTTCCTTTGGCTCCTGGCACTCCATGACCTGGTAATCCTGGGGTCCCTGGTGGCCCTCTTGGTCCAGGCTCACCAGGGGGACCTTGCTCACCTCTCAAACTGGCTAATGGAATTTCTGTTTTTAAGAAAAGAGAGAGATGAACCATAATTTTACCTTTATTGGAAATCATGTATGCAGTTTAAATAGCTTGGTCTCATTTAGATATTGCTTGGATTTGTGGTAGATACACTAGGTACTACCATCTCGTGACCCCAGTTGTTGATTAGCATTAAGCATAGCACTTTTATTGTTCTGAATGATGTCATGCACCCCAAATTTCACTTTATTCATAGTTTAAGTGAAATAATTATTTTCCCCTCAAAATCTTCCCTTCATTTTTATGTAAAAGCTATCCACACCTTAAGTCAATTTTCCACATATATGGGCCAACTTTCAAGTCTGTGATGAAATGCAAAAAAACCTTAAATTTTGAGTAGCTCTTTATTTTCTATAAATATGTCACCCTTCTAGTTGATGACTTATGATGACTTAGTTTACACTTAAATGTTTTGCTGGTATAGCTATACCATTGTAACTATCCTGACAAATCTCTTCCAGTGGAAATGCAGCTTATACCAGCAAAAAAGTGCTTTTCCTGGGATAGCGTTTCCTTGTTTGATAAGCAAAACAAGCTAAATAGCCAAACACACTTTTATGCCACTTTTATGCGAGACTTCTTAAGTCTATGCATTTTTAGTAAGTCAATGTATTTCAGCATTGATGACAGCCGGCTATATACAAAAATGTATAGTGAGATGTTAAGAATTGAACTTAACCAATGAAAACCAGAAAAAGGTATTTACCAGTGTGATATCTTCAGCATTATCCTTAAATCTGGCATTCTTAATCTTTTCTACCCCATTAACTCTAAATCACCCATTTTTCCCTCGCATGGCCCCATACCTCCATTCTTTTCTGTCTCTGAACATTGTGCCCTTTCATTTTAAAAGATCTAAACTGATTTGATACACAATAATTTAATAATCTGTATTGGCTCAATGCATCAAACTAGTCTGGGCTAGACTGTAGCTTGGCCACAGCCCTGTGTATGAGGAAATATGTGGCAACGCAGGGAAGGAATTGTACCTTTGGGAGGCACAATTCCTGCCCTGCTTCTCCCTTGTTTCAGAAGTGAGTGCTGGGTATTAGTGATTTGTTGACGTATATCAGCAGCAAACGATAACACCCTGTGCATCTGCTCAGCTGTTCTGGCTGGTGCTTTGGGGAGGGTGACGTCAAAACTCTGCCCCCTCCCCACTCACTTGTGTGCGTGGGTAAGAGGGAAACAGTATGTGCACAGCCCATGTAGGAACATAAAGGGAGTTCTTAATCCCCCTTAATTCCCTGCACAGGCACACAGAGCAAGGGACAATCTAGCCCAGGGGTAGGCAACCTTTCAGAAGTGATGTGCCGAGTCTTCATTTATTCACTCTAATATAAGGTTTTGCGTGCCAGTAATACATTTTAACGTTTTTTAGAAGGTCTCTCTCTGTATGTCTATATTATATAACTAAACTATTGTTGTATGTAAAGTAAACAAAGTTTTCAAAATGTTTAAGAAGCTTCATTTAAAATTAATTTAAAATGCTGATCTTACACCGCCAGCCTGCTTAGCCCGCTGCCAGCCTGGGGTTCTGTTCACCTAGGCCAGCAGCGGGCTGAGCGGGGCCTGCAGCTAGGACGCTGGCTGGCAAGGGGCCAGCAGCCGGGACCCCAGACCTGGGGGGGTGTTCAGGGGTCAGGGCAGAGGGCTGGGGGTGTGCGGGGGGTTCAGGGCAGAAGGCTGGGTGTGTGGGGGGGGTTCAGGGGTCAGGGCAGAGGGCTGGAGATGTGGGGGGGTTCAGGGGTCAGCAGAGGGCAGTAGGGGTGTGGGGGGGGTTCAGGGGTCAGGGCAGAGGGATGGGGGCTGTGGGGGTGCAGGGCAGAGGGCTGGGCGGTGTGGGAGTGCAGGGCAGAGGTGCTCGGCTCACGGAGGTGCTCACGGAGCTCGGCTCACGGAGGTGCTCCCAGCCCCCTGCCCCAAGCGGCTCACGGCAGGGGGATGGAAGGGATATGCCCTGTTCCACCCCCTTCCCCAAGGCCCTGACCCTACCTCTTCTCTGCCTCTATGGAGCAGCGAAGATGCTGCCACTCCTCCCCCACCCTGGGGCCATCAGCTGATTGGTGCAGGGAAGGAGAGGAGGAGGGGCAGGAAAGCACCACGCTGGGGAAAGAATTAGGGAAGGGGGAAGCTTGGCTGCCGCAGGACCAAGCTTCTGCCTCCTGCCCCCGCAGGGGAGAGCGGTGGGGGGGCTGAGTGGGGCTGGGGGACGGGACGGCAGCAGCGTGCCAGTCAAAATTGGCTTGCATGCAGTGTTTGGCCGACCCCTGATCTAGCCCATAGCATTTATGTAGCACTTAACATCTTCAAAGCACTGTACAAACACTAAGTGCTTTTACAGTAGATAAGTTTTACTTCCATTTTACAGATGCAGACCTACCCATACTACAAGTTTTCCCTGTGGACTGCAGGTTTTCAGACCTTTCTATATAGGTCTGCAGGGAAAGGATACCAGGCTAGAGAAATTCCCTGCTGATTAGCTGCCCTCCTCCATTAACCCTTGTGACAGGATAGCTTGCCCTGTGGGCTGGAGAGCCTGGGGATAAGCCAACCTGATTACAGAGTGAATCCCACCTGAGGGGAATCAGGCACTTCCCCATAAAGAGCAGAAGGTGACTGCAGTAATAGAATGAGAGCCAGGCTTAAGTGGTGATAAAACTCAGCTGGGAAAAGCTCTGGAGGGTGAGCTAGGCAGAAAGCCCAGGGATTAAGGCCAGCTCTCCAGGCAGGAAGGACTGGGAGGAGACCCTGATTAAGCAGGGAAGAGATGGATCACCAAGAGGAGACCTTAAAAGGCTGGATAGGAAGTGGCCTAGAGAAAACTGCAACTCAGGTAAAGGAGTGGACCTAGTTGTTCAGCGCAGGGCGCTGGGCTGGAAGCTAGAGTACAGGGTGGGACTGGGTTCCCTATTGGCCCAAAAGAAGTGCCCTAGAGAGGTGGAAGGATTTTTGTTTGTGATAAAGAGATTTGTTTGGGATTGTTTGGAGGACTGTGGCCCTGGGAGGGGTGGCCTTAATATGGGGACCCAGCCAGAGGGCTGAGCTACTGACAGAGAAACTGCCACAGCGCTGGAGTAACTGTCGGGGCTAGCCCAGCAAGTGAGCTGTTGTGCGATGTCTGGCCACGAGGGGGCCCCTAGCAGTGTGTGACCTTGGTTACATCTACCTTTGTGGGGAAAGCAGTTATTGGGCTGCTCTCGCTATAGGCAAACTAGGCAGCTGGGGTGGCCAGGCCAAACCTGACTGAGGTTGCTGCCACACTGAGCGCCAGGTTGCAATGCTATTCACTCAAATTTGCTCCCCCATCACCCCGCTGCCCCTGTCATGATGGAGGGGTGGCTGGGCCACACCTGAGTGAATGACACTGTGAGCTGGTGCTTGGCCCCTCCCCACTTCTACCACAAGCAGATTCGGCCACATTCATTGGGAATGTACCCGAACATGCTCTTCTATGGCAGGAACCTGGCCAACCACTCAGGGTGCGTGCCAGGCTGTGTAAGCCCCTGGCTGCAGAAACAATGGGCAGTGATGTCTTATGACCATTATTTATCTGCACTTAGGTACTAATTATGGTTTCTAAAATATTAACCCAGTGTTGGTCCCTGTGGATCTGAGAGGAGTGGGAGGTGGTTTCACTTTCTATGTTTACCTTTATCTTTTTTTGGCATCATCTCCTTGCCGAGCATAGGCAGTTGGGGGATTTCTTTCATGTACTGAGGCAGATGAGGGTATTCTTTTCCATATTGCATGTGTGGCACCTCCTTGCCCATGTGCTGCATTGGAATGCCTTCTTTGCCCAGTGGCATGTGAGGTACTTGTTGTCCAAGGGCCTGATATTGCGGGAGTTGGGGTGGCAGCTGCTTGATCCCATAATAGATGCCCCCTTGAATGGATCTCACTAGCTCTAGGTAAACTGTTACAGCCACTGCCAGCAGCTGCACAGAGGCTAGCAGCGCAGCCATGACCTGCAGAAGTAAAGAAAAGGGGATAATTATTGCACATAAAAACATGCAAATAATATTTTCATACCAGAAATCCGATATCTTAGCCAAAGCCCCTTGTTCTCTGCAGCAAGCTGGACCTAAATTCTGTAGCAAGAGCTCTGGATTCTGCATCATTGGTGAAAACATTTTTAGCAGCTTCATATGCACTTTAATAGGAAGATTTGTTTGGACATAAAAATGAATAATACACTCAATACAGCAGTCCCTGTGTTTGTTTATACTAAATCCGGTTTCTTTTATACCATTGCTGCTCCCATGCTTTCAGGTTTAACTGTGCCATGGGTGTTGGTATTGTAAATGCATATCTGCACTGCAGAAGTCGTTAGGGGAGCTGGAAGTTAGAGTAACTGGATATGGGATGCCCTGGGCTTTGTCACCTGGGCAGGTGGGGGAAGCAAATTAGGATTTGTGGGATAAGCGCACTAGCTGAATTCTCTTTACTAAAATAATCAGCAGTGGAAGAGTTAACCATGCTGATTGTTTAAGTTCTCTTTGTTAATACCCCATTGAGAGGAACAGGGTGCTTCACCCCTCACAGAGCTTTTGTATTAAGCTATCTATGAGCTCAGGCAGACATCATTACATTGGCTACACTCAGTCCACGCGTCTGTTTTCTTCACAATAATGGGGGCTAGAAATGTAACTTAAAAGCTCAGATTCTGGAGCCGAAATCTGCATCACAGGGTGAATTCTGTGACTACAGCGTACACAGGGCCCTGATTCTATGTCTCAGTCCTTGTTCTTAGTTATAACTGAATGTCCAACCAGCTCACTTCCCTTCTGTATTGGCTGCATTATTGGCGGGACATAGGGATTCAGAGAACTGGGAGTTTTCTAGGGAAGAACAGATATGGGGACCACAGTAGGGTGTGGCCGTGGATGATTTGAGACAGTGGGAAGAGTCTCTATAGGCTATGCTTTACTGGGTATTCTAGTATTTGTGGTTTGGCTGCTAGTGTCCAAATGTACACTGCAAACTTTGGGCCTGCTTCTGTCTTCCCTTACTTCCCCCAGGCCTCAGACTCAGCTCCAGGGAATGCTTTGAACAAGGAGGTTCCCACAGCTGGTAGCGAGGTGTCAAAATAGCTCTTCACCCTCCCCCCATCACATATGTGGAGGAAAGCGGAGGCATGGCCAGGGCAGAGTACTCTGGGTATTCTTGGCTGTGGAACAGCATCTAGGAGGCCATTACAGCCACATGAAAATTAGGAGTCCAGCTACAGCTAGCTCCTTTACTTTACACCGAGGGCTGGGTGGGCCACTGGATGGCCTGAAAATACAGAGAAGTGCAAAGGCAGCTAAAGCCAGTTTCTTTCCCTCCCTCCTTCCCCTACCACCATCTCTCTGCAAAGTGCAGTTTGAGACCAACAGAGAATTGAGGCCCTTTTTGTCTTGGTGATGACAAAGTAAAGTGTACTGAGCAAGGCACTATGTCCATAATGAGACATATTTTGGGGCAGAGCAGTTTTGCCTTCTTCCTGCTCAGGCCAGGTATATATGGAGTCTACTAGCTCCTGGACACTGTGAAGGAGGGTCCTGCCTCATATGTATGGCTGCTACCACTAAGGCCCTGCCCCCTAGAGACTGGGGTTCCCTTGGTGGAGGGACCAGACCATGTGTGGCAGGACTCTCCATCTCAAAGGGGTGAGCTCCCCAGCTCAGCCATTAGTGGGCCAGGCCAGGCCAGAGCCTGCCAGGCTCAATGTGCATTGGGCCTGGGCCTCTGCGCCAACAGGAGGGGGAAGGTCAGTGGTCCTACCCTGAAGATAGATTCTTCCAATGAAGTAGGGAGCAGTGCCCCTCCCCCAGCCCAAGGAGGGAAGATGGGAGGTTGACTAGACAGGCTTCCCCAGAAGCAGAGGGAAAGTGGGAATGGTCAGACTACTCCAGGGGTAAGTCCTAGGGCAGGTCAGTGAGAGCAGAAGTGGGTGTGTGTGAATAAGGGGTCTCAGTTGGGGGAGGGAAAGATAAGGGTGGTTGGAGCCGAGGGCGGTGGGTACAGTGGTGGGGTGGGAGGGCTGCAGCAGTGGCTCCTGCTGCTGCCTTAAAAACTGGGCCTGCGGTTCGTGTCTCCGCCCTGACCCTGAGGTGATGGAAGTGGGTAGAGAGGTTAGGGATCAATGCAACTAAAGGAGTACTGGTGGGTACTCTGCTCCTGAATGTGTTAAGCCTCCTGTGGGTCACAGGAGCCTCCCACAACACATAGGGAGCAGGTCCAGCAGTGAAGTGGTTGTGCACTCCACCAGCTGCTCTGACCCCCTTCTCCAGGCCCTTCAGGCCCTCCCATGTCAGGGAGGGTATAAGGAAAGTGGGACAAAGGCAACCGGACCAGCCACAGGGTAGGGAGACCTGGGGAGCAAAAGGAACCTAGGGAAGGATCAACCTGGGGCTGGGTTGCTCCTACTAGCTTCAGCCCCAAGCTCCCCCTTTCCAGCTTAGCAGGGACCTGAGGGTGTATGTGAGGGAGGGGAGAGGGCCTCAGTGTAAGGCAGCTCCCACAGAGACCTCATGCTCTTAACTTTTTTGACGATCCCTTAAATAATAAGGGATCACTACAGGCACAGCTTCTCTGTTAGGTTCTTTCCAGCATGCTGAGCTCTTCTGTAAATCTGACCACTGATTTTGGTGCCAAAATGGGGAGCCCAGACTCTCTTAAAAAGCCCATAGGGCTGTGGCCACTCAGCCTAATTCACATTAACTTCACCCAGGAGAGAGAGAGAGTGTTCTCAAAATGAAATGTCCTCCATTTTGGATTTTCTTCTTCAGCCAAATGGTTCAGGATGCAGGGTTAAGCCACAAAGAAGTAGTATTTAAGCAAACAAAACATGAATGGAGAGGAACAAGATGGCAAACACTTGGGTGGAACATATACCCCTCTTACTGGCCTGACCACTCTCAAATTAGAATGGAAAGTAATAGTACTTAATCAGATTATAGAAAGAGCACTTTCTACATAAGGACCTCAAAGATTTTACAAGGATGATGCCACTCAACACTTCCATGAGGTACATCAGATACATATTCTATCGGTTTTGCAGATGGGTAAAATAAGGCACAGATTGGCTAAGTCACTTGCCCAAGCTCATAAAATGGGTCAGTGGCAGAGCAGTGTACTGGGAGAACAGGCAACCTTAATACTGGTTCTTTTTAATTTTTGAATGCTTAACTTTGCAGCTTTAACATTCTCTTAGTACATTTTTGGATGTAATTATAGAATAGTATAATATCATTATTGTGTTTTTCTTAATTTAGCATGGTGCATATCCCTTAATCTTTCCAAGAATGATCCTAAGTCACACTAGAAAGCAACTGAAGAGGATTGAATTGTTAGAAGAACTCAATAAATCATGAAAATCAGGAAAGTATGTTAGCAAACATACTCTATCTGGTGGATTTGTTTAATGATTCTGAACTCCCATTCCCTCTCCTAGGAATTTTAAGATCTCAAATGTAGCTAGTTGCTTACAGTATCCAACGCAATGTAGCAAAGACACAGCGCTGTCCAAATAAACAGTACATTTAGTTTGTAATTTTGGATGTAAAAATGATCAAATTAAGATTAAATTGCTGGTACTAAATATATAAAACCCCAATTCAGTTGTCCATCCCTATTTAGCAAAACATTTGAGCACATGCTTAAGTCCCATTGACTTCATTGCGATTTTAGCACTTATTTAAGTGCTTTGCTGAGTTGGGGCCTTAGGCTGTGATCTTGCACCCCTGAAGTCAGTGGCTGAGCTTCCATGATACCTCATGGAAAGCCTTAGAAAACCTTCAGTTGAGAGAGAGTGTTTTTGCCTCACTTTTTTTCTTATGGGATTTTATTAAGTCTTTTATCTACTTTGTGTAACATCATCCCTGGTTTTGTGGGATCTCAGCCATATGCACGGCAACCATTTATGAAATCAGAAGCAGAATTTCAATTTTTAGGTATGAATTTTGTACAACTCAGAAAAATGACAGTTTGCGCAGCTAACTAACGAAAGGGAGTTGCTCCATGTTTTTTTAATGAAAAGGTTTTTCCTTGAAAGATGGCCTCTTCAAAATGAAATTTTCACTAAAATTGTCAACATTGTTAAACTTTTTGTTTTTGTGAAAAATGTTGCCTTTTAATTTTTAAAATATTTTTATTGAATGTTTTGGTAAACAAAATTCTGATCACTTTCATAATGTTTTCTATAGCTTTAATTTTCTTTTAAAAATAATGAAACTTTTTGATAAAGCTATACATCAGTCCATTTGCATTTTTTTTTTTAAATTTATTTTGAAGGATTGGAAATTGCTTGTGAAACTAGGTGGGGTTTTTCCCCCCACCCCTTCCCCCAAAGTTTTTGACCAACTCTGTAAATAAGACCTTTTTATTCCATTACCCATTCTAAGAGCTTAATGTTTGTCTCACACTCTCTTCTTTTTGAAGATAGTGGAAATCTTTCTGTTCGCTTTTGGATTGGATCAAGGGTTGTTGGGTCAAGCCCTCTTTGGCTAACCCTTCCAAAGGAAGAATGGGCAGATATTGTATAGCAAGAAAGGTAGGCAGCAGCTAAACCAAGTCTATCCTGCCTGTGGCTCTCTTTTCTTTAATGATGCAATACCCCTAACTTTTTATTAGTTAGTTTAATTTTCAGCAGATCTTCTTATTTTTGCATTCTTTGTGCTGCTTTGGGTAACTCACAATACTAAGTTGCTGGTATCTGTGCACATAGTAACAGTGTTCTTATAGCGTAGTCCTTTGTAGAGCTCTGTGTATTTTTTTTTAAGTATCCTCTCCTTTTCAGAAGTGGGGAAACTGAGGCATAGAAAGTTGAAGTGACTTGCCCAAAGTCACCCAGTAGGTCAATGTACTAATGACCTATTCCTTTTTTTAAATAAAAAAAATATGCGCCATTTCAGTGTTGGTATGTCTCTTGCACCTTCTCCTCTCATCATTCCCACCCACCCCCCGCCACACACACATGCAGCAC